CGGAGCGCGCGGGGCGGCGGCGGCCGCGCGCGGGCGGGAAGCGCACCTCTGGCGCCTTTGCCTCGGACGAGGGGAAGACGTGCCAGAACTTGGGCAGCGCCGCCTCCCAGTCGTCGAGGATCGCCTTTGCCTTTTGCGACCCCGTCGCCTCGAGGTGCGCCTGCTCGCAGCAGAGGAGGCCGCCGTGAGGCGCCCGCCCTCGCACAGCGCGCCCGGCCGCGCGGCGGGCGCCGCGGGGGCGTCGCGGGGGCGCCGCGGGGGCGTCGCGCCTCGATGAGCTCGCGCAGCTGCTCGGCGCCGAGAGGGTTCACCCGCTGCATCTGCACGTCGCGGTTGATGCGCGGCGCGAGGCTGTACCCCTCCCCCTCCTCCAGGAAGTAGCCCCAGCCGCCCGTCTGCCCGGCGCCGACGTTGCGGCCGACCTGCAGCCGCCCGCCGGCGGGCCGGTCGGTGCCCGGCGCGGCCTCCCACTCCCTCTCCCCGCTCTCGCCTCTCCCGCAGCACGAGGTGCAGCCAAGGTGCGGCCGAGGTGCAGCCGAGGTGCGGCCAAGGTGCGGCCGAGGTGCGGCCGAGGTGCGGCCGAGGTGCGGCCGAGGTGCGGCCGAGGTGCGGCCGAGGTGCGGCCGAGGTGCGGCCGAGGTGCGGCCGAGGTGCGGCCGAGGTGCGGCCGAGGTGCGGCCGAGGTGCGGCCGAGGTGCGGCCGAGGTGCGGCCGAGGTTCAGCCGAGATCGCCTGCCCGAGCGCGACCACCACGCCGCCCGTCATGTACTCGCAGCAGTGGTCGCCCGTCCCCTCGACCACCGCCTGTTCACAGCTGCAGGTGTGAAGAGACGCTGTTCACAGTGGTCGCCCGCCCCCTCGACCACCGCCTCGGCGTTCGAGTTTCGCACGCAGAAGCGCTCGCCCGCGCGCCCGGCCGCGAAGAAGCGGCCGCCCGTCGCGCCGTAGAGGCACGTGTTGCCCACAATCACCGACTCGGACGGCTCGAACCCGATCTCGCCTGCTCGCACGGCCACGGGGGCGCGGGGCGGGGGGCGGGGCGGAGTGGGGGGGGGCGGGGTGGGGCGGGGCGGGGGGTGGTTGGGGGGGGGGGTGGGGGGGGGTGGAGGGGCGCCGTGCACAGACGGGGCGGCGCGGCGCGGGGCCGGCCTCGCCCTCGGTCGGCTGGATCTCGGCTGCCTCTCGGCTGGATCTCGGCTGCCTCTCGGCCGCCTCTCGGCTGTCTCTCGGCTGTTGTCTCACCCCCGATCGGGTGGATGCGGATGCGGCCGCCGTGCATCGACTTGCCGACGTAGTCGTTTGCGTCTCCGCACACCTCGAGGTCGCGAGCCCGGGAGAGGTGGGGAGAGATGATGGGGAGAGGTGGGGAGAGGTGGGGAGAGGTGGGGAGAGGTGGGGAGAGGTGGGGAGAGGTGGGGAGAGGTGGGGAGAGGTAGGGAGAGATGATGGGGAGAGGTGGGGAGAGATGGGGAGAGGTGGGGAGAGATGATGGGGAGAGATGATGGGGAGAGGTGGGGAGAGGTGGGGAGAGGTGGGGAGAGGTGGGGAGAGGTGGGGAGAGATGGGGAGAGGTGGGGAGAGGTGGGGAGATCGGGGGAGATCTGGGGAGATCGCACCTCGAGGTCGAGCCCGTCGAGGCAGGCGAAGCCGAAGGACTGGCCCGCGCAGCCCTCGAAGACGAAGTGGATCGAGCCGCGCCAGCCGCGGTTCCCGTGCGCCTTTGCGATCTCGCCGGTGACGCGCGCGGTGGCGGTCCGGTCCGTGTTTGTGATCGGCGAGTGGACGGTCACATGCTCGTGCGCCTCGATGGCTCGCTTGATGTCCTCCCGCGCGAGCAGCTCGTCGTCGAGCGTGTCCGTCTGCGCCCACGGGTCGGGCACCTACCCACCAAGCGCCAAGCAAGGTGGACCAAGAGCTCGGACCGAGGCCGGCAGCGTCACCTCTGCGACCACGGCGCGGGCACCTCCGGCTGCCACGCGCGGTCGTGCCGCACGTCGGGCATCTGGCCGACGTAGCCGAGGTCGAGGTTGGCAGTCTTGTGCAGCGGCCGCTCGCGCTGGCGCAGCAGGTCGGCGCGGCCGATGATCTCGTCGAAGGAGGCGTAGCCGAGGTGCGCGAGCACCTGCGATATGGGGAGAGATGGGGAGATGTGGGGAGATACGGGGAGTAGCCGAGGTGGGCGAGCACACTGCGCCGCGAGCCGTCGGCGGTCGGGGGCGCGCCTCGGGCGATCTCGGGTCGATCTCGGGTCGATCTCGGGTCGATCTCGGGTCGATCTCGGGTCGATCTCGGGTCGATCTCGGGTCGATCTCGGGTCGATCTCGGGTCGATCTCGGGTCGATCTCGGGTCGATCTCGCGGCGATCTCGCGGCGATCTCGCGGCGATCTCGCGTCGATCTCGCGTCGATCTCGCGGCGATCTCGGGCGCCTGCCGCGACTCCTCGGCGATGTAGACGAAGAAGCCGAGCATGTCGTGCGGCACGCCCACGAACTTCCTGCGCAGCGCCTCCTTCTGCGTCGTGACGCCGACCGGGCAGTTGTTTGTGTGGCAGATGCGCGCGACGACGCAGCCGACCGCGATCATCGCGATGGTGCCGAAGCCAAACTCGTCGGCGCCGAGCAGCGCGCCCATCACCACATCGTACCCCGTCTTGAGGCCTCCGTCCACGCGGAGCACCACGCGGTCGCGCAGGTTGTTGAGCAGCAGCGCCTGGTGCGACTCGGCGAGCCCGAGCTCCCACGGCCCTCCCGCGTGCTTGATCGACGTGAGCGGCGAGGCGCCGGTGCCGCCGTCCGCCCCCGAGATCTGGATCACATCCGCGTCGGCCTTTGCGACGCCGCTGGCGACGGTGCCGATGCCGACCTGCCGTTGCAGCGTGGTGTGGTGGGGATGGCGGGGAGGCTGGAGGGAGAGGTGGCGACGAGGGCGGAGGAGGGGGCGGGGCGGCTGTCCGGATCGGCGGCGGTGGCGCTAGCGGCGGCAGCGTGCTTGGTGGCTGTGGCCGAAGGCGTGCCGGGGGGTGGGAGGATCTGACCTGCCCCACGAGCTTGACGGACACCTTTGCCTGCGGGTTGATCTGGTGCAGGTCGTAGATGAGCTGGGCCAGGTCCTCGATCGAGTAGATGTCGTGGTGCGGGGGCGGCGAGATGAGCATCACCCCCTCCTTGCACGCGCGGATCGAGGCGATGTACGCGTTCACCTTGGCGCCGGGCAGCTGGCCGCCCTCGCCCGGCTTTGCGCCCTGCGCGATCTTGATCTCGATCTGCTCGGCGGACATGAGGTACGCGGGCGTCACGCCGAAGCGGCCCGACGCCACCTGCTTGATCTTCGACGAGGCGATGTCGCCGTCCTGCAGCCCCTTGAGGTGCGGCCAGCTCGGGGAGTTGCCGTGGTCGTCAGAGTCCGAGACCGCCGTCCAGCGCGCCTCGTCCTCGCCGCCCTCGCCCGAGTTTGAGCGCGCGCCCGCGCGGTTCACGCCCATCGCGAGCGTCTCGTGCGCCTCGCGCGAGAGGGCGCCCAGCGACATGCCGCCCGTCGCGAACCGCCTCATGATGGCCTCGACCGGCTCGACCTAGGGTGAGGGTGAGGGTGAGGGTGAGGGTGAGGGTGAGGGTGAGGGTGAGGGTGAGGGTGAGGGTGAGGGTGAGGGTGAGGGTGAGGGTGAGGGTGAGGGTGAGGGTGAGGGTGAGGGTGAGGGTGAGGGTGAGGGTGAGGGTGAGGGTGAGGGTGAGGGTGAGGGTGAGGGTGAGGGTGAGGGTGAGGGTGAGGGTGAGGGTGAGGGTGAGGGTGAGGGTGGCTCGACCTCGTCGATCGAGATTGGCTCGCGGTCCGACACCTGGGTTCGGGTACCGCGGGGGTAGGGGATGGGTGCCACGGGGGTAGGGGATGGGTTGGGGTGCGGCGGGGTTGCCATCTCGAGCATGTCGCGGAGGGTCGCGGGCGGCGCGGCCGCGACGGCGTCGTTGAAGAGCTTGTACTGGTCGCGCCCCTTGTCCCAGTCGCCGGCCTCGTACGAGTCGAGCGCCTTGTGCAGCATCTTGGACATCGGCGGCGTGTTCTCGTGGTGCTCCTTCTTCGCGTAAAACTTGACGAAGCCGTAGTTGAGCAGCCGCTCGGGCGGCGCCGCGCCGCCGAACGCCGTCGCGTGCCACTCCGCAACCTTGTGGGGAGGTGAGCGGAGGGGAGGAGAGTGAGGAGGTGAGTGGAGTGGTATGGTGTGGAGGTGATGGTGTTGAAGGGTGTGTGTGTGTAAAAGGTGGAGTGATGGTGAGGAGGTGGGCGGTGGAGTGATGGTGAGGTGTGATGAAGTGGAGTGATGGGACCTCCTCGGCCAGCTCGGGCGGCGTGAGGCCGCCCACGCGGGAGGGGGTGCCGCGGAAGGCGGTCTCGACAAGCTGCTCGCCGATGCCGATGGCCTCGAAGATCTGCGCGCCGTGGTACGACGAGAGGAGCGAGATCCCAATCTTGGACAGGATCTTGAGCACGCCCGCCTCGAGCGCCTTTGGGGAGATATGGGGAGATGTGGGGAGATGTGGGGAGATCTTGAGCACGCCCGCCTCGAGCGCCTTGCGCGTGTTGACGAGCGACGCGCGCAGCGAGATGTCGTTGAGCTTGCCCTGCTCGCGCATCTTCGCCGACTTGTCCGACTCGTACAGGAAGCGCACCGCGGACCAGAGCATGTACGGGTGCACCGCCGACGCGCCGTAGCCGACGAGGCAGGCGATGTGGTGCGTCGACCACGCCTGCGCCGTCTCGACCAGGATGGAGGCGCGCATGCGCAGCCCCGCGCGGATGAGGTGGTGGTGCACCGCGCCGACGGCGAGGAGCGGCGGGACGAAGGTGAGGTCGGCGGTGCGGCCGCCTATACAACAAATCGAGCCTGTCAATATCTGTACTATAGGGGACGAAGGGTGAGGTCGGCGGTGCGGCTCGCCCTCGCGGAAGTCGGAGAGGAGCACGGCCTCGGCGCCGTCGCGCACCGCCTGCTCCGCCTGCCCGGGGGGGGGGGGGAGAGATATGGGGAGATGTGGGGTGCGGTACGGCGTCGGCGAGGTGATCTCGCCGCTGCAGCAGGCTCGAGCAGCGAGCTTGCCAGATCTCCCCACACCTCGCCGCATCTCGCCGCATCTCGCCCACATCTCGCCGCATCTCGCCTGCATCTCGAGGTCCTCTGAAGTCCAACCAAAGGCGGTCATCTGCTGCACGAGGCCGGGAGGCACCTCGGCCTCGCACTCGACCGCGAACTCGTCGCGGTAGGGCACCTTCTTGGCCTTGGCGGCCATCCACTCGCTGTAGGGCGCCTCGGCGGCGAGCCCCTTCTTCACCTCGAGGTTCGTCTTGAACTCGCCCGTCGCGAGGTTGATTGTGATGCAGTTGCCAGGGCCCAGCCGGCCCTTGCGCACCACGTCCGCGTCGTCCACCTCGACGACGCCGGTCTCGGACATGAACGCGACGAGCCCGTCCTTGGTCTCGAGGAAGCGGGCCGGCCGCAGCCCGTTCCGGTCGAGCTGGGCGCCCAGCTGCGTGCCGTCGCAGAAGGTGAGGAGGGCGGGGCCGTCCCACGGCTCCTGCAGCCCCGCATAGTAGTCGAGCATCGCCGTCACCTCCGGGTGGTCGTCGTACGCGGGCTGGTCGCGGTACGCCTCGGGCACGAGCGCAGAGAGGGCGAGCACGGGCTGCTTGCCCGTCCCGCGGATCGCATTCTCAAACACCGAGTCGAGGTTGGCGGAGTCGGACTTCGTGTCGGAGCAGAGCGGGTCGCGCCGGCCACGCTGCACGTCGAGCGCGCGCTGCCAGTTGACGTTGCCGATGAGGGTGTTGATCTCGCCGTTGTGCGCCAGGCAGCGCATCGGCTGCGCGAGCGGCCACTTCGGCACCGTGTTTGTCGAGAAGCGTCGGTGGTAGATTGCGAAGTTGGTCGTGTAGCGCTCGTCGGTGAGGTCGCCGTAGAAGCGGCCGAGCACCTGCGATGGGAGAGGCGGCGTGGGGGGCGGCGAGGGCGGCGGCGGCGAGGGCGGCGGGGGTGGCGGCGGCGAGGGCGGCGGCGGCGAGGGCGGCGGCGGCGGCGGCGGGGAGGGCGGCGGCGGCGGCGGCGGGGAGGGCGGCGGCGGCGGCGGCGGGGAGGGCGGCGGCGGCGGCGGCGGCGACGGGGGAGACGCACCGCCGACTGGACCATCCCCTTGTAGACGATCGTGCGCGAGGAAAGGGAGGCGAAGTACGTCTCGCCGACCGGGCAGTCGGGGTTCTCCTTTGCGTGCTCGAGGAGGTCCGCCTGGGCCGGCGAGATTGCGGGAGATTGCGGGAGATTGCGGGAGATTGCGGGAGATTGCCTGGGTCGAGCGGCGAGGGCTTGTGCAGCGCGCACTCGAGAGGGTGGGGAGGGAGATGGGGCAGATTGCGTGAGATTGCGTGAGATTGCCTGGGTCGAGCGGCGCAGCTTGTACAGCGCTCGCTCGAGATCGTCCCGTCGCAGCGTCGGGTGGTGGAGGAAGGCTTGGCGGATGGTGGGGAGGGCGTCGCGCGCGAGCGGGCCGAGCGACTCCTTGGCCTGCGGCACCTCCCGCCACCCCACGACCTCGAACCCCTTGAGCGCCGCCTGCGTCTCGAGCAGGTGCTGCGCTTGCTGCGCCGCCTCGGGCTGCTGCGGCAGAAACGCCATCGCGACGCCCATCGAGTCGGCGGGCTTGCCGCCGAGCGAGCCGTCCGCCTCGAAGAGGCCCCACGGCACCGCCGTCATCACGCCCGCCCCGTCGCCCGACACGCGGTCGCCGCCGCACCCGCCGCGGTGCTCCATGCAGCTCAGCGCGTGCAACGCCCGTGCGATGATGTCGTGGTTGTTGCGCCCCTTGGTGTCGGCGAGGAAGCCGACGCCGCACGCGTCGCGCTCGCCGACCAGCGGCATCGGGCCCGGCTCAGGCACGCCCAGCTGACCCAGCCCGAGCGGCAGGTCGGAGCTGGGGAACCGTGGCCGGTCGGCGTCGGCGGCTGCGGCGGCGCCCGTGGCGAGCGGAGCGGAGGCGCGGCGCGACGCGACCGCCGGCCGCGCAGAGGGACCCGCACCCGCCGTGGCCGGCGGGCGGAACGCAGCGGTGGACGCGAGCAAGACCAGCATAATTTCCAACCCTGTGGTCGCCCTCGAGGCTCCCCGACACTCCGAAGAGCTCGAAAGACTTCCGACTTCGCAGCAAGTACGCCAAGCACGGCGGCGCGTGAGCGGGTACTCCGGTGGGGGGCGATGTTGGGGCAGTATCAGTAAAAACAAGCTTTACTTAGTTACCGGACCGGCGCTCGCGCGGGAGCCATAGCACAGCGGTGTGATGGAGGGGTGGCCCAACCGGGGCCGGAATCTAGAGAGAGAAAAGAGGCGAAAGAAACAGTTAAACTAGGACACTCAGTCAGCTGATGCCACACGTCCCGCCCGGCGGCCCGGGATCCCGGGTGAGCGCATGCTTGAAACCTAAAAGACGAAAAAAGACGAAAAAGAATTTTACAAGAAACTCCACCGCGCCCCGTCTTGTGAAGAAAGCCATATCTGACCCGCCGTACGGTAGGTTGGCGCGTACGTGAATAATGGCCGTTGTCGATGTCCGCTCCGCCGCGCCTCTGTCTGTACTCATTGCCCAGATCTCCCTGTCAGCTGTGAGTCACTCAGGGCCGCCCGACAGGGCCCGGCACGGCCGCGGGCAGGGCGGGGGGCTATGAGCTGAGAGGCTCCTCTCTGCTCTCTCCCCACCGTTGCTCTCCCCTGTGTGCGCTAGCCTATGATGAGAAAAGAGGTCCTATGGCGCTGGTCTATGAGATTGAGGTGGAGCCCTGGAGGCCTTCACAGATAACGGAAAAGAATTTTCCACCTCTTCACAGATAGTTGATAAGAAAGAATTATTAAACTCGCCCAAATCCGATAGAGCTCTACGAACGGCCCGATAAAACGTCGATAAAGCAAGCACGTGCATATCGACCGATCACGCCGAACAATGCGCCTGGGCATCTCGCTCTCGCCTCTTCTTGTTCTTCAGGCGGCCGCCGCCCTTGCGTCCGATGACGTCCTCCTAGTAGACGGCGGCTCCTGTCCAGCCGACCGACTGAAGGTTGTGACAAACGCAGCATGCAAGACGGCAAGGGAGGAGGTGCAGCCCCGGAAGTCGAAGTACCGTGGGAAGGAGAGGACGAGCTCTTGGCCGAGCGGCTGCTACTACTGCGATGGCGTGCAAGGCTGCCAATCCGGGACGTGGCTCAACCGCCATCCCAATGGCGGCCGTGTGCCAGCCGGCGTGCAGACCTACTGCGCTAAGGCGGCGTGGTCTGGTTGCAGCAACGGTGGCTGCGCCGGCGGCGCGACGAGCGTCTTGTTTGCTGGCGACAGCGATATCGAGCTGTGGAAAAAGACTCGACAATATTTCCCTGGCTCGGCCAACGAGGGCGTCGGCGGCTGGACTTGCCGCAAGCTACGGAAGAAGATTGGTGGCTTCCTAGACCGCTACAACCCAGAATGGGTCGTCCTCGTGTGCGGAGAGAATGACGTTGGTAACGGCCGCACTGTCTCGGCGACATTCGACGATTTCCGGGCGATCGTCTCGAAGATCAACGCGGCGGGAGCTCGCGTTGTATATGTTGGCACAAAGCCGGAGCCATCAACGTCGTCTCTTCATGCAAAGTATCGCGCCTACGACCGACTAATCCGTCAGCACGCCGCTTCCCTCGCAAGCGCAGCATTGGGCTCCCGGCCTCCACTGATTATGGTCGATAGCTACCGAGGCTTCGTCGATCTCGGCAACCCAAACTCCCTGTACGCTGGAGACAGGCTTCACCTAAGCAAAAAAGGCTACGCACACTGGACGACTTGGACGCAGCAGGCGCTGGCGCAGGCCAGCACGGCGTGTGAGGTGTGGCGCAGCGGTGCGTGCACGCAGAACGGGGGCCGCAGATGAAAAAGTGTTTCTGGCTCAGTTACAGCTGCAAGCCGCAACGGAGCCACTGTCGTCGTTCGACGCGGCACACGTGGTGATTTATGAGTGCTCCGCGGACGACTCTCTGTCTGTCTCTCTCTCCGTTCGTCGGTGATTATTTCGTTGTGTATGTATCCCATGACTCCAAATGACAAACTGTGTGCGCCAGATTCTGAAAAAATCTGTGCATAATTCTACTGTGCGCCAGATTAAAGCCGTATGTGCATACTATTCTACGGCTCTAGTCCCGAGTCTCCCGAAACTCCCGTCCGTGCCCCCAGTGTCGTGCGAGGGAGTTTTGTTGTAAAATTCTAGTGCCAAGGAGGAGGGCACGTTGCGTTTTTGCGTCCCCGGTAAAGGAGCTTAAAGGGCAGAACAAGTGGTGGGCAAGCAAGGTAAAGGCGAGCCTCGCATCTCCACGCCCGAACACGGGCAGGAGGCCCACGGCAACAGGTCCAGTGCAACGTGGGTGAGCAGACCTGCACCCCACTGCCTTCCTCCCAGTCACAACCCGCGCACACATTGTCACAACCACGTCTCGGCACGCGCGAGCATAACCGAAATCGCAGCCAGCGCCGAGTGCCGCGCCGCGCGCGAAAGCAGGCCCCTCTTACTGCGTCTCGCGCGTGATCGCGAAGCCCAAGACGCAGTGGCCAAAGTCGAGCGCCGCGATGCCGTTCGTGGCTCCCGCCGAGTCGAGGTGGTACCGCTCGTGGATCTCGTAGATCGAGCGGACGAGGAGCGCCGCCCGCGCGCGCGCCGCCGCGGGGAAGAGCGAGTGGCTTGCCGACGACCACGGCGCCGCCGCCCGCCGGATCAGCGCCGCCGCCTCGCCCTCGCCGCCCGCGGCGCGCCGCAGCGGCGTCGGCTCGCCCTCGTGCAAGCTCGCGCCGCTGCGCAGGAGGGCGGTGGCGCGGGCGGCGGTGAGGGTCTCAAGGTGCGCGAGCGGCGTCCAGCCGCGGCTGGCGACCAGCCAGGCGGCGAGGTCGGCGTGGCCTTGGCGGTTTGCGGCCTCCTCGGGCGTGCCGAAGGGCGTAGCGGCGCGGGAGGCGCCGTAGGAGGAGAGGAGCTTGCCGACGTCGAGGTGGCCGTTTAAGCACGCCATGAACAGCGGCGTGGCACCGTTCTGCTTGGCTTGGTCGATCGCTGCGCCGGCCTCGAGGAGCAGCCGGACGCACTCGAGCTGGCCCTCCTGGCTCGCGATGTACAGCGGCGTGGTACCGCAATTCATCGCTTGGTTGATGCCAGCGCCAGCGTCGCGCAGCAGCCGGGCGACCTCCAGGTGGCCGTCCTCGCACGCCGCGAACAGCGGCGTGGCGCCTTCCTCATCGGCCTGGTCGATCGCCGCGCCAGCCTCGAGAAGCAGCCGAACGCACTCGAGCTGGCCCTCCTGGCTCGCCATGAGCAGCGGCGTGGTACCGCAGTTCATCGCTTGGTTGACCGCCGCGCCAGCGTCGCGCAGCAGCCGGGCGACCTCGAGGTGGCCGTTCTGGCTCGCGATGATCAGCGGCGTGAAGCCTTCAGCGTCTGCATGAGCCAACGCCGCACCAGCCTCGAGGAGCAGCCGGGCGCACTCGAGGTGGCCATCCTGGCTCGCCATGAACAGCGGCGTGCAGCCTTCACAATCCACTTGGTCAGTCGTCGCGCCAGCCTCGACGAGCAGCCGCGCGATCTCGAGGTGGCCCTTCTGGCACGCCATGTACAGCGGCGTGCGGCCTTCAGAATCCGCTTGGTCGGTCGCCGCGCCAGCCTCGAGGAGCAGCCGAACGCACTCGAGCTGGCCCCCCTGGCACGCCATGAACAGCGGCGTGGCGCCGCCGTTCATCGCTTGGTTGATGTCAGCGCCAGCGTCGCGCAGCAGCCGGGCGACCTCGGGGTGGCCCTTCTGGCACGCGATGAACAGCGGCGTGACGCCGTTGCCGCAGGCCTGGTCGATCGCTGCGCCAGCCTCGAGAAGCAGCCGGGCGATCTCGACGTGGTTGTTCTGGCTCGCGATGCACAGCGGCGTGGCGCCGTTCTGGTTGGCTTGGTTGATGGCCGCGCCAGCATTGCGCAGCAGCTGGGCGCACTCGAGCTGGCCGTTCTCGCACGCGATGAACAGCGGCGTGGCGCCGCTCTCCTGGGCCTGGTTGATGTCAGCGCCAGCGTCGCGCAGCAGCCGGGCGATCTCGAGGTGGCCCTTGTAGCACGCGACGTACAGCGGCGTGAAGCCTTCAGCGTTTGCATGAGCCACCGCCGCGCCAGCCTCGACGAGCAGCCGGGCGCACTGGTCATGGCCCTTCAGGCTCGCGACGTACAGCGGCGTGAAGCCTCTGGCGTCTGCTTGGTTGACCGCCGCGTTGGCCTCGACGAGCAGCCGCGCGATCTCGAGCTGGCCGGTCAAATTCGCGATGTACAGCGGCGTGACGCCTCTGGAGTCTGCTTGGTCGGTCGCCGCGCCAGCCTCGAGGAGCAGCCGGGCGCACTCGACGTGGCCCTTGTAGCACGCGATGGATAGCGCGGAAGCGCCGCCGCCAGTCGTCACCCCCACGCTCGCGCCGCCTTCGAGCAGCAGCCGCACCGCCTCGGCCTGCCCGTGCCGAGCGGCCCAGGTCAGCAGCGTGTCCTGCTTCTCGGTGTCGTGCCGCGCGTCGAGCTGGGCCGCGAGCGACGTGCCGCGCGTCCGCCGCCCGGAGAGGAAGGCGCGCAGCCAGGCCAGGTCGCCCCGAGCCAGGTCGGCGAGCTGGGTTGGGAGGAGGGCGCCCCTCATGCCGCCAGAAAGAAGAAAACCAAGGCCAAAGAATTTTACAACAATGCCTCACAGCAGACTGGCTCGGACTGGCACTACAAATGGCACAGCAGGCGACGGCCCCTTACGGGTCGTCAAAGAGGCCGGCGTACTCCTCCGGCCGCTCCTCCCCCTCCCAATCCTCCCCGGGCTCTGGCTCCTCCTCCTTCGCCCGCGCCCTCGCCCCCCGCCGGCGGCGGTTCCGTGCGGCCGTCGCCCCCGCCCCCTCCCCGCCCCCATCACGGCCGGAGCCGTACCACCCCGCGCGCACGAGGAACGAGGACTGAGCCTCAACCTCGTCCACCCTCACCGCCCTCACGGCGGCGTCGCACGCCTCAGCCCGCGAAGCGCCAGCAGCATGCGCCGCGGCGTACGCCGCGTCGCCTACCGCCTGCCTCGCGAGAGACGCGGCGCGCCACTCGTCCTCCAGGGCCGCCGAGCCCCACGCAGGGTCTCCCGCAAGCCAGTCCACGCCCTCCTCCCCCCCGTCCGAGTCGCCATCCGAGCTCAACTCGCCCTCGCCCTCGCCCTCGCCTCGCGCCTCGCCGCTCCCATCCTGCGGCTGCGCCACGCCCCGCGCCTCGCAGCAGCCCCATCCTTGGCAGAGCCCGCCGCACATGCCATGCGCGACGTATGCCTGGCGCAGGCCAGGCACCTCCCACCGATCGTCAGTGGTGGCGAGATAGGGCGCCGCGCAGCGGCCTGTCGAGTTAGCCCACCGCCACGCGCCCGCCCGCCACAACTCGCCCGCCGACCCGGGCCGCCCGCAGAGGCAGCACGGCTCGACGACGTCGAGCCACTGCCCGACGTTCTGCTGCGCCCAATGCGCCCACCACCACGCCGCCCCGCCGCGGCGCCGCCAGCTTTCATGTTCCGGATGGTCGGCACTAGGAAAAGAAGAATCCTGAGCGCCTGCTGCGCGCGACTCGAGGTCGCGCGGCTCAATGCGGGCGGTCATGGAGGCCTCACCTTCGAAAAGGGAGGCTACGTGGACCTCTCGGGAACAATCGGGCGACACGGCGCCGCTCTCCTCCCCCTCCGCCGGCGCCGCGCCGCCGGGGAATTCCTCCTCCAGAATGCGCCGCGAGCCTGTCGTGTCCCCTGTCAGGAGCAGGAGAGCCCCACCTGTCCCCCTGATCGTAGCCGGACCTGTGAGCCGGACCACCCCCTCTTGTTCCCTGCGTTGTTGAGCCAGGACTCAACATACTCGGGCTTTCATCCCAAACTGTCACTCCCCTTTCTCCCGGCCGAGGTGGGGCGGGGCGCGCGCGGGTGGCGGCGGGTGTGCGGGATGTCTGTGGGCCCGAGAGCGATATGCCATGTCCGCCTTGCGTTTGTTTATTAAAATGAACTCGGGGGCACGGGACGCGGCACGAACGGGGCACAAACGCCAGGCTACAAAGACGGGGAGGCACGTAGTGACGCAGGGGAACCTTGCGTTTGTTCATTACATCGAAGGCTAAGCTCATAAAAAAAACGAAGTCCAGCCGCGAATGAGCCAAGGCACAGCCTCATCTGTAGATTGCATCGACTAATCGACCTCTTCGTCGAGCCTTTCCTCCGTCAAGCCTTCGCGGCAGACCCGATGGACGCTTTCATCGAGCCTGTCTTTGGCGAGCGATCGCTCTTCGAGTTCATCGCGTGCATGCTTCCGTCGCAAGCGGACATGGCGAGGCTGACGCTCGCGCTCCGGAGCGGCTGCCCACTCGCACAGGACGAGTTGGCAGCGCTCATGAGCCGGCACTCGATGCAGCCGCTGGCGGGGAGCCAGCGGCAGATCGTCACCGACCCCGAGCTCGGCTGCAACAAGGATTGCTGGCGCACAAATCCGGATGGCTCCGCCAATTTCGACTACGAGCCGACCATCAATTACCTCTACCCGCTCCGTCGCCGCGAGTTCATGGCCGAGTCGAGGCAGCGCTACCAGGACGCGGTGGCGCGGGCGCTCGCACTCCGCATCCCCGGGCTCGACGCCGTGCCACCTTTCCTCTCGCGGATCGTGCCGCTGGGCTGCGCCATGCACCACTGCAAGAAAGTCGGCCAGGAGTGCCACGTGTACTCCATCGAGTCGGCCGATGGCCCCGTCATCTTCACCTTCGCGTACGAGATCCAGTCGACGATGAACAAGGGGTGCTGCGCGCACGACTGCATCTGCGACATGAACTGGACGGCAAACCTTGCCGTCCTCCTCCCCGGCGCTACCGAGGCGGCGGCCATCTTCGGCGTCAGCTGGCGCATCCTCTCGGGCGACTGCCTCCTCCGCCCGCCGACGGCGCTCTGCGAGGAGACGGCACGCGCATGCGGCATCGATGCTTCGATGGTGGGCGCGCTCGTGGCCGTGCTGGCCGAGATGTCGGGCTGGGGCGAGTCCGTGTACGACTTCTGCAAGGAGATCTGCGAGGAGTACCCGGCGCCGGAGAGGGTCGAGGGACAGAGCTACAACCCGTGCTACGACAAGTACACGCCCCGCGCGCTCTTCGAGGGCATGCACAATGCGTGGACGCACTACCTCAACTCCCTCGTCCGGCTGCAGCGCTTCTCCGACTTCAAGCGGCTCAACGCGATCGGCAAGGCCGAGTTCCACATGCGCCATCCGCCGCCAGAGCCGGTGCGGCGAGAGCGCGGCAACGGCGACGTCTATTACGACTACTATATGCCGTCTCGCGTCTCCATCAACGGGACCGACTCGTTGGTGGACACGAGCAGCTACAAGAAGTTTGTGGAGACCAACACGGACTGGGGCGTGACGGCCGACGACCTCGTCGCGCTCACCCGCTCCTTCGGCTCGTCCGACTTCCTCGACCCGGAGCTCCCGTCCGACTTCGGCATCGCCGGCCGAGCGGAGGACAGAGTCGAGGTCTGCGCCAAGTGCCCCGAGGACTTCATCGACAAGCAGTACGAGCTCAATCTCAACCACTTCGTCAAGCCCTGCAACAGCCGGTACTTCAAGACGTACCCGGAGGACTGCTCCGACGGCACGTGCGAGTGCCACCCCTCCATCCGGCACGACGTGGAGGAGCTGCTGCTCGCGTCCGACCGCAGCAGCCTCGCGGCGCTCGCCGTCGACCTCGACGGCTTTGGCGCCCGCCTCTCGTACGACGACCTGCTCGACGGCGCCGGCGACTCGAAGAGCATCACGCGCTGCAACGTGCGCGACAACGACCCAGAGTGGCAGCGGCGGGCGAAGATCCGCGAAGAGGCGCAGGAGGCGGCGTGGGAGGAGCGCATGAATCGCCTGCGGACCCCGCCGACCCCGGAAGAGGCGGCGGCCAGGCGGACCGAGCAACAATCATTAGAACAGTCCTGGCAGGAGGAGGCCCGCGAGATGGAGCAGCTTGCGATAGCGGGCTTGCCGGGCCCGCCGATCGACCTCTCGGTGATTTTGCAGGACGGCATCACAATCGACGTGAAGGCGCGCACTGCACGCACGCGATCCCCTCTCCGTGTGACGAGCGTCGCGTTCCCCTTACTTATCTCCCTCTCTCTGCAACAGACGCGCAAGCTATCGCCGCTGTCGGAGCTCATGAGCACCGTCTGCGAAGAGCGGGGCCTCCGCCCTTCAAAGGTCCGCTTCTTCTACAAGGGCGAGCGGCTCAAGGGCGACTGGTCGCCGCGCGCGACCCGCATGAAGGACGGCGATGAGATCGCGGTGATTGTGCTGGAGGATGCGGTGACCGACGGCGAGCAGTGAAACCGCTCTCCGGCTACGACGCGTGCGGGCGTGCGGCCACCCTTGCCGCCAGCTCACTCGTGAGTGAGCTCGTGTTGCTGGCAACTGCTGCGACCTCGTTGCTTGCGCCGTACACGTGCGTGTGTTTGGTACACAATGGTACAGTGGTAGTGGATGGATGGATGTGAACAGAACTCTATGCATTGTGGCTACTGCGAAACCTTGTGCAGCCACTGCAGCAGCGTTTGTGTTCCTCGTCCCATCTTCAGAGTGTACCAAGGAGAGACGTGAGACCGAGGCCCGAAAGACCTCGTGCAAAAGAGAGCCACGAAGAGTTCTCGCACTCACCGCTCCTCTTCAGCCGCCGCGGCGCCCGCCCGCTCGCGCCGGCGCCGCACCCGTCTCCACAAGCCCGCCGCGGGCTTCCACGCCTGCAGGAGGGGCCCGAGAGGCCGTCGGGGGGGTTAGGCTGTCAGAGACAGGCGGCGCACGCCGCGGGAGAGATGGGGAGATACGGGGAGATATGGGGAGATACGGGGAGATCAACGCACCGCGCGGAAGCGCTGGCGCTGCACCAGCATCACCCTTCGGCGGGGCGCGCTTTCTGCCGCCTCGCTCTCCGACGTATTCGCATTTGGCGCGTCCTCCTCCTCGGCCTCGGCCTCGGCCGCCGTCACCCAGTCGCTCACCTCGAGCGCGAATCGATGGACGTTGGTGCTTACTCTTGGACGAATTCGTGTCGCTTACCTCTCATTAGTGGAGCAGTCGCTCACCTCGAGCGCGAAGCTGAACATCTCTGCGACGGTGTCGCCCACCGTTGTCGCCACCGCCTCGGGCAGCGACGACAGCTTCTGCGCCGCCGTCGAGAAGGGGTCCGACGCGGCGGGCGGCAAGTCGAGCCCGCCCGCCCGGCACTCTCGCGGCGGCGGGATGGCGGACCCCCCGATGACGACGCCCCACTCGCGCAGCGCCGGGTAGACGACTTTGTGGAAGAGCCACGCCTTCGCCCGGTCCGTGCCGGAGCGGAGCAGCGTGGAGGTGCCCCAGCGGCCGCCGTCGCCTTCGACGCGCTCGCCCCACGGGAAGTCGTGGAAGACGCGGTCGAGCTCCGAGAGCGGAACGTGTCCCGCGGCGATCGAGTGCAGTAGCGCGCGGCTCTTCCTGAGAGATGGGGAGGGATGGGGAGAGATGTGGAGAGATGTGGAGAGATGGGGAGAGGTGGGGAGAGATGGGGAGATCTTCCTCCGGATCGGCCGCAGCACGAGGTAGAGCTTGTCGAAGGGGTTGTTGAGCGGCGAGCGCCTGCTCACGGCTGCAGGTGTGAAGAGGCGCTGCTCGTAGTGCTTGTCGAAGGGGTTGTTGAGCGGCGAGCGCCTGCTCACGGCTGCAGGTGTGAAGAGGCGCTGCTCGTAGAGCTTGTCGAAGGGGTTGTTGAGCGGCGAGCGCCTGCTCACGGCTGCAGGTGTGAAGAGGCGCTGCTCGTAGAGCTTGTCGAAGGGGTTGTTGAGCGGCGAGCGCCTGCTCACGGCTGCAGGTGTGAAGAGGCGCTGCTCGTAGAGCTTGTCGAAGGGGTTGTTGAGCGGCGAGCGCCTGCTCACGGCTGCAGGTGTGAAGAGGCGCTGCTCGTAGAGCTTGTCGAAGGGGTTGTTGAGCGGCGAGCGCCTGCTCACGGCTGCAGGTGTGAAGAGGCGCTGCTCGCAGAGCTTGTCGAAGGGGTTGTTGAGCGGCGAGCGCCTGCTCACGGCTGCAGGTGTGAAGAGGCGCTGCTCGTACAGCTTGTCGAAGGGGTTGTTGAGCGGCGAGCGCCTGCTCACGGCTGCAGGTGTGAAGAGGCGCTGCTCGTAGAGAAGGGGTAGATGAGCGGCGATCGCCACGAGTCCGCCAGCCCGAGCAGCACCTATGTGGGGAGATCTGGGGAGATCCGGGGGAGATGCGGGGGAGGTCACGAGTCCGCCAAGCCCGAGCAGCACCGACGAGAGGCCTCGCTCCGCGCACGGCGCGAAGCGGCAGCCGTCCGCGCGCGCGTCGAGGCCGCAATGGTCCTCCTACTCAGGGAGATCTGGGGGTATATGGGGAGATCTGGGGAGATCTGGGGAGATCTGGGGAGATCGCACCTCGGCGGTGGCCAGCTTAGCCCGGATCAGCTCCCGCGCGAGCCACGACCCGCCCGCCGCCTGGCAAAGCACCGTCTCCGCCTGCCACGGGTCGGAGCACACCATCCCCGTCCAGACGCGGAACTCCTCGTGCTGCGACGACCAGAGCAGCCGGCTCCAGCGCAGCCCGTGTGTGATCGCCTCCAGCGCCAGGTAGGCGACGCGGAACGAGGCGGTCGCGAGCAGCAGCAGCGACGCGATCAGCAGGACGTAGTACTGGCCGTTGGAGATCGAGCGCTCCTGCCGCGCGTGCTTGACGGCGGCGGTGCGAGCCTAGGAGGGGATCCCCCGGGAGTTTGTGGACTGTTGATCGAGTGTGCTTGTTAACGCGTGCTAGACGGAGGCGGTAGCGATATTCCTAGACGTCATCCCGAGCCCTAAGAATATCGGTAACGCTAATGCTAACGATAACCCTAGCCCTATCGCTGACCGTAACCGTAGTCGTCGCCTCGATAGGGTTCCAAACCGGAGGCATGCAGGGCGTCGACCACAAGCGCGTCGTTGGGAAAGGGGTACGACGTCTCGTTCAAGGACGCGGCCCAGGCAGCCGCCCAAAGCTTGGGCAAGGGAAGTGAGCCCCCCGCAGGCAGCGGCGGCGGCGGCGGCGGCGGCGGCGGCGGCGGCGGCGGCGGCGGCGGCGGCGGCGGCGGCGGTTCCGGCGGTTCCGGCGGCGGCGGCGGCGGTGCTAACGGCGACGCGCCGGCGGTGTCGGCGTCGGTCGCTTCCTTCTCGCGGACCGACACGCCGCCGTCGCCCTCGCCGCCGCTGCTGCCGCAGCCGGGCGTGCGCGGGAAGCAGTGGGTGGCGGGCGGCTCGCTTGTGGCTGTGCTCGCGCTGTCGCGGTGCGGGGCGGGCACGCTGCTGCACCTCTCCCTAGAAGCGGAACGTGCGTGCTTTGGTGCACTCCCACCAGCGCGCGAGAGGAGACGTACTCCGCCAGACTCCGCACCCCCCCCCCCCCCCCCCCGTGTTCGTGCGATGCTAGATCTCAGAGTCCACGGCGCAGTGCCGTCTTCCCGCCCCGCAGGCACCTCTCGAGGGTCGCCCCCCCGTCCACTTTGTGCGTGTGGAGAAGCTTACCTGACCTTGGTTTGCCTTAGGCATCTCTCGCTCGCCGCCGCGTTTCTGCTCGTCGGAGTGGGGTGCCTTACTGTCGAGCAGGCGTTCCGGGCGATCCAGCACAGGGTGCCCCTCGCCACCGCCGCCCCGCCCCCCCTCCCCTTCCCGGGCGATCTCTCGGATGCCCTTTCGCGTGATCTCGCGCGATCTCGCGCGATCTCGCACGCCCTCGCACGATCTCGCGCGATCTCGCGCCGCAGGTGCTCCTCACCATCGCCGCGTCGTTCGGGCTCGGCGCCGCCCTCGGCCGGCCTCCAGGGCTTGTCGAGCCCCGAGGTGCAGCCGAGATCAGCCGAGATGCTCCGAGGCTGTAGGCGCCGCCCTCGACCGCTCAGGCTTGTCGGCGATGCTCGGCGCGGATCTGTTCGAGCGGGAGAGTGGCGGTGCGACACAGCGCCGCTCCTCACAGCCAATGGAGGTGGAGTAGGCGCGCTCCTCGCCGAGCTGGAGCCGCTGCTGGGCCCGCTGCCCTAGACGCGGAAAACACGGTGATCGTGTGTCGCCAACCAGCAAGCGTCGGCGCTGATCGAGCAGTGGCTACTGTATTCGTAGCCCACGTACTGGGGAGGTGCTCTCAGTACTCTGCACGACACCGTCCTCGCGCCCCGAGGCTGGCGTACTCACTACGCAGGCCCGCTGCCCTTCCTCGGCGCGGTCTTCCTCTTCACGTCTGCTCTCTCGTGCCTCGTCTCCAACGCCGCGTGCGTCGTGCTCGTGTACGGCGTGCTCAAGGACCTGCACGACGGCGGAGGGCTCGCCGCGCTGCGCCCGGCGCAGGTGATGCTGGCGATGATGATGGGCGCGAGCGCGTCGTTTGCGACGCCAATCGGCTACCAGACCAACCTGATGGTGCTGCAGCCGGGTGTGCCTTCCGCGCCGCGCCGCGCCCGCGCCCGACGCCAGCTCTCTGCACCTCCCATTCCCTCACCTGCACCGCACGCCCCGCCCCTCGCCCACATGCCCCGCCTCCCTGCCAGGCGGCTACTCGTTTGCCGACTTTGCGCGGCTGGGGCTGCCGTTGACCCTCAGCACGGCGCTGTGCGCCGCCGCCTCCATCTACTCGCTCCCCGCGTCGTGGCTGCCGTGAGGAAGCCAGAGGGGGAGCGGGCAGGGCGCTTGCTGCGTGGCAGCCCTGTGTATCTCATTATCGTACGGTACCTCTATTGGTTTGGGCTGTCGTGTTTAACCACGTACGCGGGACTCAGGTAAAAGGAATTCAGTAATTGTTACTTCAACACACGTGCCTGCTGCCACCTCCGCCGCGGCACCGCCCGCAGCACCGCCTCGCTGCCGCCGCTGCAGCTCGACGTTCGTCGTTGGTCACTGGTGCCGCAGGCTGGCCCCGCAGGGGAGGAGGGGGGTCTTCACCCGGGGCTACTCGCGCACTCGACTCGTGCACTGCCACGAGGGCACATGGAGAGAAAATAGGGAGCCGCATTGTATTAGCAGTCACATTATTGCTGCGCCCGATACTCCCGGATCTGGCTGCGCACGAGGTTGTTTGGGATGAGCACGGTCGACTGGAGCTCCGCACCAGTGAGCGGCGAGGTCGTGTGGCCTTTGCTCAACCACCTCTCGATGGCGCGGCGCTCGTACGTCATCCCGTCCATCATCACGACCGGATCGTCCATCAGCGCGAAGGTGATCGGGCAGAGGAAGGCCTCGGGGATGTCCGAGGGTCGAGTGGATGGCGGAGCAGCCTCGTCTACCAGCTCCGTGAGGGCGGCCGCCGCGTGCTGCAGCGGTTCCACCGCCGGGGCCTCCATCTCTGCCTCCCCCGCCTCATCTGCCAGCGCGTGGGGCTCCTGTGATGGCACCGCATCGCTGCTGCCGACGACACCCTTGCTCTTCTTCTTCTTCTTCTTGCCCTTCTTGGCGCGCGCCTTCGCCTCCTCCGCCTCGATCTCCGCGAGCAGCGCCTCCCCTCGCGCCTCCGCAGCCCTCGCCGCCTCCTCCGCCACATGCGCCGCCGCATGCGCCGCCACATGCGCCTCGAAGACGCGCACGCACGCAGCGTGACCCGACTCCTTGGCGAGCTGAATCGCCGTCTCGCCGTCCTTCGAGCCGGCCAGCAACAGCCTGTGGACCACTCGCTCGTGGCCGCTAAGGGCGGCGTGCATCAGAGCGGTCCAGCCGTTGCTGCTCCGCGCGCCCACCTTCGCACCGCGTCGCAGCAGCATGTCGACAAGGAGCGGCCAGCCGCTGCTGGCCGCAGTCATCAGGAGGGTCAAGCCGCTCACGTCGCCGTCCTCGTACGTCGCGTTGACCTGACCGCCGGCGATCTCCAGCCACGTCTGCACCGTTTGGTCGTCGCCTCGGTCCGCCGCCATGGCAATCTCCTTGGGGACCGTCGTCCGCAACGCCTGTGCGCACTCATCGTGGCCCATCCTCTCGGCCAGCTTCAGCAGCGTGATGCCGTCCGTGGCGCACAGCTTCATATCTGCACCGTGCTTCAGCAGACAGCGCAGGACGCCGCGGTGGTTATTGAGCACGGCTACCGTCAGCGCGGTGTTTCCCGTGCCGTCCCGTTGGTCAGCCTCCGCGCCCGCCCGAAGCAGTGCCTCGGCAAGCCTCTCCTCGCCCCGGGTGACGGCGTCAAGCAGCGGCGTCATGCCCTTCCTGTCCTGCGGGTCGACCTCCGCCTCCCGCTTCAGCAGCAACTTGACCATGTCCTCCTGACCGTGGGCAACGGCGTGCATCAGCGCCGACATGCAGCTGCTGTCCCGCTTGTTAATCTCCGCGCCGCGGTCTAGCAGCGCCTCTGCCAGGTGCACGTTGTTGCTGCGGGCAGCGGCCGTCAGCAGCGTGCAGCCCCTCACAGCACTGCCTTGAGGGGCGGCGCTGCCAGGGCCGCACCTCTTCGAGGCGATCGCGAGGAACGCCGACGCATCGAAGGTCGCGTTGGCCCGCCCTTCTTCCCTGTCAACCCATTCGAGCACGTTTGCCATGCTTGTGGGCTCACCGCGCCCGCCCGCCGCAAGCAGGATCTCCAAGGGAACCTCGCAGTTGCCATCCTCGCCAGTGTCGGCGGCGCCCTCGGTGGCCGCCTCCTTGCTGCCACCCTCGCTGACCCCACCGCTCCCGCGCTCGCGCAAATTCGACGTCACCCTCTCGATGTGCTGGCGAAAGGCGGCGACGCACCCATCGAAGCCCTTCTCCTTGGCAAACTGCAGCGCGGTCTTGCCGTTTGCGGCGCGCGCCTTCAGGTCCGCTCCCAGCCCGAGCAGGCGGCGCACGATCGGCGGCCGATTGCTCAGGACGGCGTGCATCAGCGCGGTCATGCCGTTGCTGGCCTGCTGGTTGACCTTGGCGCCGCGTCCCAGCAGCAAGTCGACAAGCTTCTCCTGCCCGTTGGCGACAGCGTACATCAGCAGGGTGAATCCGCCAGTATCGCCCGACTCGAACGTCGCGTCGACCTGCCCGCCGGCGGCGTCCATCCACGCCAGCACCACCGCCTCGTTGCCCTCCCCTGCCGCGTCCACAATCCTGTCCGGGACCCGGTCTGGTGAGGCCGGGCCCATGTCCACGCGGCTGCACTGGCGAGCCATCTCGGCTGCCACCGCCGATGACACATCTCCGCCCGTTTCCTCAGCACCCGCCTCGGGCAGCCGCCCCGTCTCCTCGCGGAACTGTTGAAAGCGCGCCCGCACATTGGCACTGTCCTGGCCTGTCTCCTCGGCCTCCTTCATCCCTCACTCGACTTCTTCTGTGTGCTCGTCGCGCGGCCAGCTTCTGGCTCGAAGAAAAGAATTTTACCATACAAGCCCCTCTCACAGCAGACTGGCTCGGACTGGCACTACAAATGGAAAGAAAAGAATTTGTCGTCACAAGGCCGTCGAGCTGAACGACAAGGCGTGGCTCCACGAGGCGCAGGGCTACCTAAACCACCCCAAGGGCGCCATCACCCTCGCCACGCGCTGCGTCGGCGTGGGCCCTAACTCGGTGTGCATCTACCACCGCACGAGGCTACCGGGATGCGTCCCGTGCGACATCGGCGAAGCGCGAGTGCCGCGCACGCTGTCGCTCTTCGAGCACCTCAGCGGCACGCACTGGGACGGGTGCAACTACGGCGGCTGGTTGGCTCGAAGAAGAGAATCTTAATGCGAAGATAGAATTTTACAGGCAAAAATTTAGAAACACTCGCTCGCACAACAGTGTGTGTGTGTGTGTGTGTGTGTGTGTGTGTGTGTGTGTGTGTGTGTGTGTGTGTGTGTGTGTGTGTGTGTGTGTGTGTGTGTGTGTGTGTGTGTGTGTGTGTGTGTGTGTGCACAACACTGGGCACGGGACTGGCGCGCACTGGCGCTAACACAGGTACACCACGGGAGCCGCCTAAGCGACTCCTGCGAGAGTGGCGAGGCACTTAGCTCCGTGCACCCGCCCACCCCCGCCACAGGCAAGCTCATTCACAACCTGCTCTGCGATTGCCGTGTGAAGAACGACTGAGATACGCAATAAATAAATAAATAAAACGGACACCTCTACTAGGAGATGGGTAAAAAGGAACAGGTCCCCGCCCTGCTGAGATACGCAGTGTTGTGCGAAGAAAAGAATTTTAGCTGAGGGAGGATGTAGAGGATGTAGAGTGTAGAGCGCTGTAGAGCTGTAGAGATGTAGAGCGCTCTGGAGCGCTGTAGAGCTGTAGAGCTCTACATCCGCCGCGTGACGAGGCGCCTGCGTTGTAGAGCGATGTAGAGCGCGATTTTGTTGTAGAGTTTGTTGTAGAGGCTCTACAGCCAAACCGCCGGGAAGGCAGTGACTCAAAGAGGTCGAGCCGCGCTAATGGGGTTTTACCGAGCTTAGTGAAGCTCTGATGGACAGCCCTGACTATCCCTGACACACAGAGAGTCCCTCTGACGGCACACAACACCCTATAACTGCGTCATGACCAGCCTGCCATGTGTCGCCGGTGCCGCATTCGTCGCTGTGCTTCTTTAGCAGGCGGTGGACTGTCGGCTGCGAGGACGGTCGCATTTGCGCGAGGCGAGGCGAGCATTCAGACGCCTTATCTGCGCCATGACTCGCGCCAGCGCGTGCGGGAGCTCCTGGCTGAGCGTTGAGTCCAGGCGAGTTGCGCTGGCCACGATCGCTACGCCGAGCCGAGCTGACGCGCCGAGGCGCCGGCCAGTCGCAGCCGTGAGGCATGCCACAGCAGCAGAGGCATCTGCCACCCATTGGGCGGGCAGACAGAAGGCCAGGGCAGCACTGGCAAGTGCAACGCGCCTCATGTCGGAGAGCGACCGTGCCTCGTTCGCCGCTTATGATGTAGAGTTTGTTGTAGAGATTTCACGTTGTAGAGCGCCTCTACATCGCTCTACAACGCAGGCGCCTCGTCACGCGGCGGATGTAGAGCTCTACAGCTCTACAGCGCTCTACATCTCTACAGCTCTACAGTGCTCTACACTCTACATCCTCTACACCCTCCCTCAGAATTTTAGAACCGAACTCCCTCGCACAACTGTGGGCACGGGACTGGCGCGCACACTGGCGCTAACACAGCCCTCGTACACGCGCCGATCTGCGCCTCGAGACCTGCAACCTTGCCCGCCGCCACCTGGTGCATGCCAGCCTCGAGAGAAAGTGACGACTCCAAGTCGGCGATGGTGGTAGCCTTGCCGGCGATGACGGCGGCCTGCTCAGCGATCTTGGTCTTGGCCGCCTCGAAGCTCGAAGACGAAGTCCTGGCTGGTGAGGCGCGATGGGAGCTGTGAGGCGCGAGCTCTCACAGTGACGACAATCAGCTACGGCAACTCCGCTGGAAAAAGCGTGCGAGCCGCCTTGCGCGGCTCGGGCTGGCCGTCCCCGATGCTGGAATCGCTCGCCGGTGCCGGTCGTTTCTTTGACTCAACCGGCGGAGTCTTGGCGTCATTGGTGATTGAGGCGCGGGTGCCGACCCGACACAGGGCTTGACAGTCGCGACGACCGCTACGGGCGCACCGGCGTGGCGACGGGCTAGCCGTGGAGCTCGCGTGAGAGCCGGCGCCGGTGGTGTTAACGCTCGCCACCACCATATACAGGCAGCTTTGAGTCACCGGACTGGGTCATCACGCGCTGCGTTCCACCCACGAGGACCGTCCGTCAATGCGAAACTTCCCGGCCAACCAAGTGACTGTTTTTGGCCCGAAGTGACGGGAAAGTGACGGTTTTCGCGGCAAGTGGCGGATAGCGCACGACACCGCTATAATATATGAGGGGTCCCGCACCATGCGGAATCGACCCTATCCATCCAGTGCTCAAGTGCTCAAGTGAACTTGGATATCCGTCGACACGTCGTAACGCTGAAGGCGGAATTGCTTGATGTTTTTGCGTTCGCCTGCAGTGCGCTGCCCGGAGTCGCCCCGACTGTTGCTCGCCTGTGCACCATGTTGCACCTCGCCACCTCCCCGGCAGCGACCCTCTGCCCTGAAATTGCCCGCTTCTCCGAGCTGAAGGCCGCCCGCTCTGGCAGCGCCCTCGGGTCCGCTGCAGCAGTAGGGTACCTCTTGGTCGGCCCCAGCTGCCACCTCTTCGAGAAGCTCATCGCATCTATCCAGTCGCTGAGGCTAGCCTCGCCGGAGCTTCCAGCCGTGGTGGCGTACGTCGAGCCGCTCTGCTCGACTTGGCAGGCGCAGCTCGCGCGATTTCCTCTCCTGGAGCTGAGGAATGCGACCCTGTGGGCCCAAGCACTCAACATCACCGTGAGGCCCGAGAGCCGCGATGACGCGTTGCGCAGCCATATCCTCAAGGCCGCGCTGCCCTATATGCTACGCGACCGGCAGAAGGTGCTCAT